CACGAGGGCCTGATGAAACGTAAGTTGCTGTGTTGTTGCCTTCACCCGCATAAGTTCTAGCATTAGTAGTTTGGAGTAATTTGACTGGTAAGAAGTGCTAATAAGCCTTCATAAGAATTTCTTTCTATGCTCATAGAACTAGGCGTTAATAATGGCGGATAAGCATGTCTCCAAGGTGAACGCATTCATTTACACTAATAATCCTAACAAGAGACGATACCGTGGCTCACTTTCGTGGATCTGATCCTACTCTAAAGTGTCTAAAGTTGATTTCCTATGAATCTTAGCATAGTTCTTCAGTTAAAGCTCGGCTGCTGACTGGAGGCACTTCCCACATTCTACATAGGTGTGGTTACTGCGATAGGAAATAAAAGTAGAAGTCTTAGTATGGTGCTGTCCCGAAGCCTCATAAGGATCTAAATGTTGAACAACAATTTGAGGCTCCAAAATTTATTTCAAAAAGCTTCAAAACACTTAATCTCGAAAGCTTTCCAAAATGATTGCAATATTTCGGTGCTTAGCACCTTTCGAGATTAAGTGTTTTGGAGCTTTTTGAAATAAATTTTGGAGCCTCAAACTGTTATCCAACATTTAAAAGTAGAAGTGTTGAGAGGATAGCCAGTGAACAGAATAAGAAAAAGAAACTCTGAAAGTAATGGAAATAACGGACTTATGCCCTGAAAGTGGTCTGCCTAGTCTAGGAGACAGGCGCGGGTCGGATGAAATTGGGGCGTTATTTAATTTAGATAAGAAGTGCAATGCGAAGTGTCAATGAGGAGAAAAAGCAAAAAGCTGCCATAGAAAACATTGAAATTTCCTTTGTGACGTCGGCCGTGGCATGACGGAGAGACATAGCGCTGCGAGGAGAGAAAAAACGCGAGAGAGCGCATATGTGAGAAGGCACAGACGTCGTGTACCGCGATTAGCAAGGATGGCAGCACGGCAGCATACAAGCGAAGGCCTTAGCGCAATTGCCTCGCGCTGTTGAGCTTCTGCGATTGCTTACCTCTCTTCTTCACACCTAATTCCGACCCGCAGTTTTAGGTCAGCAGGCTAGAGGTACAACACGCTGATCTGTGAGAACGCTTTGACGTTGATTGCTCCCTTTTTGAGAAGCGCTACGCCTTCTAAATCCATTCAAAATCGTGATGACCTTCAAATGCGGTTTGGCCTGTGCAATTCCTTGCGGGACCCAGTCGATACAAACCTCAGGGTTTTTGTCCTCCCAGTGAAGTCTGATACCAAGTGATCGAACCCAGAGGGGTTTGGTTGGTCTGTGCGAGATTTGATCCAAGATTTGAGCTTCGGACCTTGCTCATTAGGAATGAGCCCACTTGCCACAGCACCGTTCATAATACAAAAAAACTATTGAGGATGACAAAATCAGAAAATTACCTTCCCGTTTCTAAGTAAACAAGCATCTTTTCAGACATGGTACCCGTTGCGCTGGAATAATAGCAATGGCAGCAAACAACTCCAAGTGTGGTGTTGGTGTGGCTCATCATTCTCGATTTGGAGGTAATTCTAGGTTCGATGGAGTAAAAACTGGAGAGTAACAGCTAGTATTTCGATTGACAATAAGGGCGCAAACTGAAAAATGATCTTTTAGGGTTGACTGTGCTTGCTGAGAATCAGTTTCTCAACGACGCTATCGAAGGGGATGCACTCGCATACAAGTGAGCCTCATTATTGACTGATATCGATTTCTTCACCAGGATATCTATAGTGGAGTTGAAACTAAGTTTTCTTTTCATACCTCCGGTATTTTGTTTGTGTTTATTTTGCATTTTCCCAACAGCGTGTATCAAATGGGCGTATTTGTGGCACTGGTTCATCGCACAAGTGCAGGAAAATAGGCAGCACTAATATTTTACGCGCCAAAATATGGGTTATATACGTAGCGGACTGATAATACACATCTAACTACCCTAGTGATGATTTTCAGAAGTGACCGCATCGACATTTACTCAGGTCAGCTGGGGACCGAAAGATGACGGTAAAGCGGCTGAGCGACCCGGCTCCTTGGCTCAGAAGGCAATCGAGTTCGGCGCAATTCATGTAGGTTCGAAGGCAAGGTCCAGGCTCAGCCCCACTGATTGAGTCCCTCCTGTGGATAGCTGCTCCATCATTGCAGGGCTCGCATCACTTTCGCGCTCAGACACGAAAGGCGCTAGGCGCCTGAGACTTGGATCCTCCTACACCCAGAACGATCCGTTCCCGCCCACCGCTCGGTATCGTATCTACACCATTAGGTTAACCTGCTATGCTCTATGGACGCGAACGTCTTTCCCCTCTCTCCAAGATCCATATTATCTCTCATCTAGCTCTCTGCTTCTTGAACATCTTCGCAGCGTAGAGAAAAGTTTCGTATTCTCTGGGTTTTGAAAACTTTTTCTACTCTTTTCTCCACATTCGGTCCATTTCTCATCCCTATCTTCATTTGAGTGGTATTACCCCATGAATGTGAACCTGGACCTTGCCTTTAAGTCAGGCTTATCTGAACGTCTGAGAAATGGATTTATGTTTAGATTTCAGGGCCGCAGAGGACTCGGATCGCTATATGTATGGGCAAGTGGAAACGGAGGTCTGGAAAATGATGACTGCGCCATGGACGGATATGCGAGCAACCTACACACGGTTTCTTTTCCTTCTTTCCTCTTCAATTGCAAGTCAACTAGC